ACAACTTCCAGCAACTACCCAGTATGTCAGCTTTCATCATTCCCACAGCTCTGTGCTGCATATTATTATTATTATTTTTAATTTTATTTTGAAAGCTCAGCATGGTCCAGATTACTCCCTGCCTCAGGTGTTCCTGTACTATCAGGGTTCTCAGGTTGTCTGGTCCCATCCTCACAATGTTGCAGTTCATACGCTCAGATCCAAGCATGCCTCAAATCCAAATGTCTCTCATATCGAGAAGTTCTGCACACAAACCTGTGGTGAAGCACGACGCTTCAGACTACTTACAGGGAATCCCCAGAAATAAAGCTCCACAGCTGCATTTCCAAGGAAAATGCATCAGTAAGTTTCTCCTATTTTCTTAAGTGTCTCAACAGGAGGCTGAAACTACCCTTGGGGTGAGCAGGGGTGACACAGCTCTCTGCTCTATGCCACACTCAGCACGTATGGTGCAACAGTGGGACAGTGAGCAGCAGCCCCTGCTGGTGGCACAAGAAGCACAGGGACCTCCAAAACTACAGACTAAATTACTGAGTTGCTGCTGGTTTGCACAATCACATGTTCCTGTGAGTTTTGTGTGAAACACTCTGTGAAATACTTTTAACAAAATCAATTATTTTGTGGTACTGACACATTTTTCAAGCCTGGACCAAGTTGGTATGTTTATTTTATATATATATATATATATATATATATAATATTTCTGAAAACGATATATATAATTCAGAAATATTTTGATATAAATCTTTCATATTTCCACTTGAAACTCTTTGTAAGATACAAACCTTGAAAACTCACAAAAAATTTAAAAATGGCAACAACAATGCAAACAATTTTACTGACATCATGTGTCTTAGGTAATGTCAACATAAAAACCTAGCTAAGAAGCAGATGACTTTGAAACATACAACAAATAAGAAAAAAATCACAACCTACCAGGAAAGGCATACAGCATACTAACCAAGTTTGAATAAGAAAATACAGCTATACACCCAACCAACAGCCTGAAAACACTGAGAAACTAATAAAGCTCCAATTTCATAAAACAACATTCCAAAAGAGGAAAAAAATAAGTCAAGAATGCAGCTATCACACTATCAGAATACCCAACCTGCCCTTCACCAAGCATTTTTCAGCCTTGTCTGAATAATCTAACTTTATTGCAACCCACAGGTTATGGTGCAGAACAATTATTCAGACATAGCATCCCTACTAATGAAGGCAGAAAAGGCCGTGCTCATCATCCTAATTGCTGCTCACTACAGCCCACTTTAACCCACACTCAATCACAATTCTTATCCCTTCTGATCACCCAGATGAGTGCATATCCCTATTGTGACTGGGACTGAAAGCAGACAGAACTCAAGAAATATGAAGTTAGTATTGCTGAACTCGAATATATTCCATAACTTTCCATTTTGAAGGATGAACAGAGACACGACAATAGCCTGTCATTAGGAGAATGCAAGTGCTTATTACTAGAACAAAATGATTGCTCCTATGAATGCATTATTATCCATATACCGCAGTATCATTCTAACATTGATAAGCTCTCCAAATTCACAGTAGTAATTTCTGCTATTTGATGTCCTGAAATACAAATACATACCTTAATGATATATGTCTCTGAGCAGAATTCAGAGAGAATAACAAAGGTACATAAATAATTCAGAAATACCCCAAAAAAGTTTGCTGCCTTTTAGAATAATTAAGTATAAATATAATTGCAATTTACTATATGACTGCATTATTTTGTCAGTAGAAAAGCTTAAGTTTCTTGAAGACAGACTGGGTCTTCATTAGCATAAAGAACATTTTGCTTAAATATCTGTCAGATCACCTCACTGTGGTGCAGTCTCTGCAAAAAGTAGCCATTTATGTAAAAGGCAGCATCTGCTGAAAAGATGTTTCTCCCAGCTTGCACTAAAAGCCTCTACATTTTATCACTGACACCAGGAGGCCCTTGATTTCACTTGATGTCCTTACGTCTTATTAGAAACTTAGAATAAGTGAGAAATAAACAAATTTAGCATCAAAAAACGCTATATTCCCTCTTGTGTCTCAATAGTTCAGAGTATATCCTAAGTTTCTTTACACTCTTTCAGGCAGTGACGGCTAGTTTCAAAAAATACACTTTGATGCACAGCTTACACAGAATTTAGGCACTGAAGCTCTCGGAAATGATCCTGTTAAAGCTAAGCAAATACCAGCCAGGACACATTCACCACCAGAACAAGACCCAGGGGGCTTAGAAATGCACTGCGTATTACCAGTGCCAATGCATCTCTTACAGCTTCCTGGAAAACCAGGTGCTAGGGAACAGTTTGCAAAGGTGGCACTTCCTGGGGGGAAGGGGTCTCTGAAACAATGCAGCTTTCATTAGCAACAGCGAGATAAAACGAAGCCTTGGCAGAAGTAATCAAACTAATATACTAGCAAGAAACAACAGATACTTACCCAGAAAAAACCTCTTCAAAGCAGCTATATACAACTCATGAGAGTGATTGACAAAAACTGAAATGAAAGAGGGTAGACTCTATTTTGTGAACTGTATGCCCATCAGGACAAAGACAGGAGCAACAGTATATCCTCTGCGGATGCTCGTCAAGGAAAACTTTACACTCACCTTCAAGCTTAGTGCAGATCTCTCGGTGCCTCACTCAGAGTATACGGCACAAATACACCAAGAGACAACATGCATGGACTCATGCTACGCATTATGTAAACAGTGGGACTGCTTGTGGGGCATGGCAGGGACAGGGAAAGAAAGGGGCCACAACCTAGACCTTAAATTATACTGTGCTAACAAATGGCTTGCATACCTGTTACAGCTCATTCAATTCACACTTCTAGCTTACTGAAATTATTAATAGAAGAGCCCAGGAGGCAGTGATACATCAGCACCTTCTCCTGGATCTGTTCTCTATTCTTCTGTGAGTTAGAGTTGTGAAACTGACTCCTGATAATCTCCTCAAAGAAAGACTTACTCAGTACAGTCTCAGTAATAGCTATAAACTACTGTTGGTATAGTTTTTTCCACTAAGATAAATATTAAATGTATAAGCAGATCAAGAGCACTAAAAGAAACCGAAAACTTTAAATTCACTTCTGTCATCTAACCTTAGTTTAACACCTATAAAGACACATACATATAAATCTTCTGTATTTCTTCCTTTTCACTTCCCTCCTTGTCCTTGCAAGCCTATGCAGACATTGTGTTCTGCAGCACATTATATTATACTTTCCCTTTTTGCCATGTTTAAACAGCTGCTGCCTTTCCCAAGTTTACATTTTGAATTGAGCAATGTATTCTTTACTTACCTTAGGTAACCCTAGAAACGTGATTATTTCTGAAATACGAAAGCTAATCACAATTTTCTTCTGAGATTGAAGAATTTAAGACTTACATGTGACCACGTGACTTACACTCATGTAGTTTGACTCCTGCAAAACACAGAATTCTACTGAAGAGTTCTTGCCAGAAACCCATGGTGATCCTTTGGGCTGCTATGGGTTGGTACACAGAGTATTTGCATCCTCCCACACTTCCTAGCTACTTCAGCTCAATGCCTTCTCTTATTAAACTTTCAGCCATTTATCAATAAACTTAATTCATTTTAGAACTGATACCACAACAGACATCTTCTGCAAGAAGGTATCAGAGACCAACCTACAGAGCTAACCAAAACTAAAAAAATTTCACATAAGTAGCCCAAGTGCAAAAAACTACCAGAGAGGTTCAGGAATTACATTGTATTCAACAGAAGCTGAAGGTGAATTCTAAATAAAAATTAATACAAGCATTTTTATCTGGTGTAGGGACTGAAAGAGGACCTAGAATTCACAGGTAATTAAATAAATGGAGTTCTCCACCCACTCCCCAACCCGGTAGTATGAATCCAAAAGAAGATCAACAAGTACAACATCTGAAAAATGAAAAAACATCTGATATGCATAAATTATCTTAGTCCCTACACTTCATTATGCTAATGACAATAGGATAAGAAAGAAAACAGTCTCAATAGAGCAGCTTTGGACTGGGTTAACTAGTATAACTTACAGAAGAGAAAGGAGTTTTGGCTTCAGAAAAAAAAAGAAACAAATAGCAGTATCATACAATTATCTTCTCAGTGTGGTGGATGAATCATCTTGAAACATTCTTTAGATAAGAACAGTATGCCTATAGAAAATGTTTCAGAGGAAAGGCATGATATTAACACTGCGTACCCACATGAATAGTATCTGAGTCTCCACTGTTCTATCATGTAGATATGTTTATAGCCAGATGTAGAAGAACCAAATCCGTTCTTTAAACAAATAATTATGTTTTTAAAGCACAATCAAACTATATTCATTTTCATAAATTCACAGATGAATTGGCCTACAAGTACACCAGACAACCACATTTCTGGGTTTACTGAACAGTCCTAGCTTTCTGAAGTAGGAATTAAGTCATTTCTACACTTGTAAATCAGTGCCCTTACGAAAATCAAATGTAGTGGCATGAACACCCCGAAATGATACTGTTGCTACTCATGGATTAGCAAATTATTATGGAAGTTGTTTCATTCTACAGGAACAGATTAATCTCTGGTTCCTCAGATTTTAAGACTCAACTGGAAAGTGAAATTATGAAGAAATTCTTGCTAGCATAGAAAGGATCATGGCTGTTCTGTCCTTGTGACAGTTCACAATAAGCATCAAGTAATATAAATATGTGTAAGTCATACCTGTAATACAGCATTTTCTATACAACATATTACACAACAATTTTTTTTTTTTCCTGGAGGTCTGTATTTAGCTTTTACTTAAGTTTATGTAGACAAATTTCCTTTTGATCTTGTAAAGACCATGTTGAGAAATACAGATTAAACTATGAACAATCACAAGAGACAGTCATGGCCAAGTGACTTCTATTGCATATATTATTTACATTAAAAAGGAATATATTCCATATATTATCTACATTTTTTAAAAAGGGAAAAAGTCTGGTTACCTACATTGTTTATGTATTCAGACAGCAGGTCTTGGAGAGCTTGACGGATAGCATTGCACTCAGCAATGATGCGTTCTCGATGGAAATCACGCGTGCAGGAGGAATCAGCTAGCAAAGCTGCTCCACTGATAATAGCTTCCAAACGTTTCTCTAGTGATGGCCGTATTTTCTCTTCACTCACTACAAGAGGATCCTGGATAATTAAATGCTGAAAAACATTAGGAGTACTGGTAAGAGAAGTCAGACTAATTAAGTTGCTGCTTTATTTTTCACTTGCATGAACTGCAGTGACGTTATGCTTCCTAGAATTCCAAACAGCCCTTTACCCTTGATGTATCCAAAATACTTTTGACCCTGGAAGACTCCATTTTCCCTACCGTGGCTACACGTACAGGTCACTTGCAGACAAAGCCCAGTTCTCTCTGCCACCCAGATCTCACATCTGTGTTATCAAACCTTACTGGCCTTTATTCAGTCCTCAGCTGGCATCAGAGCTTTCCAGACAGAACTGTTTCACACCTCAGTGAAACACAGTAGAACAAGTTCCCAGGCCACACTGACATCTTCTGACCACAACTACCTGACCTCTGAGTCGTCTCTGTTTCCTACTTCTATTGCATGAGGGGGCCTGTCATGAATTTACCTTGAAAAATTTTTTAAAAAGAAACGCATCTTATACCATGCTTATAATGTCTGTGTACTACTGTCACACCATATATGTGACATTCACTACTCACTACATATCTTACCAAAGTATCTCAGAATTGAGGCCTAGCTTTGTTTGGAAGTCTACAGGGAGGGTTGACACCTCCAACATTTACATTTTGAGAAATCAGGAGGACATCTAGATTTAGCATAAAAACAACTTGACTAGTTTACAGCTGAGAGATGTTACATGACCAGTTGGATTCTGATGGTTTTTATTCTAATACAGTTAAACACTGTGGCAGAAATTCACTGCTGCTACATTTAACAGGCTGAGCACCAGCAAAGCACAAAATAGCAGCTTTTGTTCAACAACTGTGTTTTCAAAGGAGTGTCCTCTTGCTTTTCACCAGCTGGAATAAACAAAAGCAGCAAAGTGTTTTGGCATGATAAAACTAGTTATGTTTTTGTGGCAAGCATAGCAAGAAGAAAAGGAGAGGTGATATTTTCATACAATGCAAAAGCAATTGTATTCGAGCTTCAACATTTAAAGTAATACAAACTATTCATTTTTAATCAAACTGAACGTTTGAAAGAACAGCATTACTCTCCAGATCACCAAAGCCCAAATTCCACGCAAGTCCCCTTACCTGATATATCCATATGTGATTCTAAGCTTACAGAAAAATTATTAAACAAGAAAACTACGCCATATGCCCTCAAGTGGAATTTAGGTCAGGTAAATCAGAAGTTATCAGTGATTATCCAATATGTGTTGAACTACTTTTAATCCAGAGAATTTTAGTTATTTTTCCAATTTAGATTTAATATCTCATTTTCATGTACTGCCCAACTTAGGAAGTTGTAGAAGTAGAAAAAGTGTTCTGTTACAGCATTTTAAGATAAAAGATTAAACTTTTAAAAATGGAAATAAGGTCACCTTCCAATTTTGTTATTGATTATTTTTAGCAATCTCTTACATATTATCTATGATTTAGGGAAAGAAGGTCTTTTTGTTCCGGGTCTAGTTCTTCTATCCTTCCCAAAATATACAATTGCTTTGAGACATCTGGGATATTCTCCAGCAAGGCTAGAGAAAAATCAGACTTTAGAATCTGAGTATTTCCCAAGGAAGCCTTTTAATACTGCCATCAGACAGCACAGGTTCTTTCTGCGTTACTCTAGTTCAAATGGAAGCTCGTTATTTCCCAGCACGTAGGAAGGAGCAGTGCAGGTTTCTCATGTTCTACCTGCACTAGTATTCCATTGTCCTGAAGTCCCCAGTATCATTTAAAAGCACTCCTATTATTTAAGTACTCTCACTACTTCAGCCTCACACTTGCTCCCAATCAATATATATATAATAGAGGACACTAAATCTAAAGTAACCCTTGTAAGCCCTTCTGGGGCTGTAAGTTCTAGGCTCCTGTTCTGCTTCATACCAGAAACTGCGATTACATGAACTACAGTCCTCAAATTTCCACAGTGTCCAGAAGGAAAAGGTAGTTGTGAGTTTCTGTCTCTCTTCACAGTAAATGTGTTGAATTTTGGGAATTTTGTATCACAGCAGAGCATCATAAAAGAAGAAAAAAAAGGCAGCCCAGTGCTACTGCTATTGCAATTTTCTGTTGTCTATTTGTTTCAACAAGTGACAGGATGTATCATTAAAATGGTTTATACGTTTATGTCAGGTGCTCATGTGCATCCAGCAGATGCAATCTTAGATTAAGATAAAGTAGTAACTATGTATTTTTAAGTTCCTGTTTTTTCCTCAAACCAATTTTCACCTGTCTGGATACACATAACAATCTGGAAAGGAGCTGAAGCATAAACAGGAGGAAAAGAGCTTAAATGTTTTAAAAATAAAGAAAACTATTTGTGCAGCTATTTCTGCATCCATAAAAGCAACAAAGTAACCTTATTTGTACCACTTATTTGTTTCCTAAGTGAAAGATGTTAAATAAATAAACACTGATCATGGAAGCAATCATCTCGCATGCAACTTTTGGAATCAGAGCCAAAATGGGATGGGACCATAGTTTTAATCACTACTTGTCTACTGACAAACCTAGACCAAAGGAAACATGCAGCCCACTATTTTCATCTGCTTTTGTGGAAGCAGGGAAGTTGGGAGTGAGTTGAGAACTTTTCAGTATTTATAACAAATTTGACTTGTACACTCTCCAAGAAAGTTTCTCCAATGCTGAAACTTCCTGAAGCATGGCAGGCCCTGCTTTTAAAGGTAAAATCCAAAGAAAAGGAAGATGGCTTGGAGAGAAGGAAGATGGCTTGCTGTCCTGCTCTGAAGCATCTCCATATACCCTAACCTCTTGATGGCAATGGAGGGAGCCAGACTGGTTCACCCAGTCACCAGCAAAGGAAATCATTTTGCTTTTTGCAGGCAAATTCCTAATTTGACAATGCCTGGAGCCAGACCTGATAGGAGAAATAATCCAGCTCAGTATTATAATCAGAAGCCTCCCTACTGCAAATAAAATGTTAAGACTCCTTGTCCTTTTCTATAACAGGTATTTCCACAGAAGGCAGGGAATGTACCTGAAGACACTCTTCTGGAATTGTGAAGGCAGTAAAATCCCACTTCATCACAAACATAGCTTAGAGACTCATTAAGAATATAAATATTGAGCAGTTTTTCTCATGTATTCTGTTTGCTGAGCTTGCTTACAACAGTGATATCATAGCTGAAAGCAAAGCAAAACTGCACCCTATTTACATGTAAGCAAGCAAACCTACTTCATGTCTCAAACAAAATATGCATTGTAGAGAATTAGGGCAATGCAGTACAGGAAACTGGAAGCAGTAAGAAGTGCTGTTAGGTACTCTGAAATGGAGGGGTTTCTGTGATTCTGGAACATTGAATTCTTTCAGCTGCCACCTCTACCAGAAGGAATGTGTGATTTTAAAAGCAGAATCCAAGCAGTTCTTAGCAGCAGGAACTCTGGTTCCCTGAGTAACAGATTTTTAATCCCCTAAGTTACCTAGGTCTTCATTGTTTTGGCTGTATCCAAAGACATAGCAGAATTATAAATGAAAAAGATTGCACTTTGACAACTAGCACGGTAATACAGGTTTAGAAAACTGTATGAAGCTAGTCATTGGTGTTTAAATACTTACAATATTTACTTTTTTATTATTAACTTATAGCAAATTGATAACTTCAAACTATTTTTATACAGGAAAGACTCATCCACAGTGATGTATGAATGATAAGGGAAGACATCCTACAGATAGCCAGCTTCCAGAGGTCAGGACATTCATTTCTGATGCGGAAGACAGGTTTATTTGTGTTAGAAATTTGAAACTGTCTCTTACATTCACATTAACATCCTGTATGCCAAACTGCTCAGTGGTACCTCACCTCTGCTGGAGTTCTGCCCCTTTGTCACTACTCACTGGATCAGCAGCTTCATTGTTGGGCTCCTGTATCTCAAGTAAGCACCCTAAACACTAGACTACAGCGTCCCTCATAACGTAAAATCCATCTGCTAAGAAGAATGTTTAAGTGTTACTACAGAAACAAAAAGCTTCGTGATGGAAAACTAAGTCATGCCTAAAGGCTACAGCCAATTAGCCATTTCAGTTAGCACAATGACTGCCTTTAAAATATCAGATAAAATTGGAGGAGAAACATCTTCTCCTAGGAGATAGTTTGCAGAAAGTGCATGAAAAGATGTACAAGAAGCACTGGCATGTATGAGCAAAAAAACAAACAAACAAAAACCTACAGTTCAGCTCAAAAAAAAAAAACAAAAAAACAGGCAAAAGTAACAGGAAAAAATGGTTTAAGATTCTGCCTGCAGATTTGATTCTTCAAGCAATTTCATCAAATATTTCTGATAAGCATACCTAAGCAGAAAAGATCATTTGATTTCCAAACAATCAGAGGACCCTAGATATGCAACAAGTAGTTTTGCTTTTTTGCTTTCAAAGGGTTAAGCAGTGTTTAGCTACCTGAGCTTTTAAACACAAGCATTCGAACAGAATTATTACATCCCTATCTTCTTCCTCTCATTGGTTTTCTGATTCATGAAAGAGGGATCATGGATATCCAGAAACCTGGTTCCATTTCCTGACATTTTGGACCAATTTACAGTACTTTGATATCTCATATATAATTGCTATGCTAGATAGCCATAATCACTAAATCACAACGTATCAGATGAATGTGATAAGTCAGGCATGCATAGCCTGGATCATTTTTTTTTTTTTTTAGAGATCTCTCTACATCAGAAGATGCAATACCAGTGAAAAGAATTAGATAACCTGCACCCATGTTCTTTTAACACAGATCTTACGCAATTTAATTTGTGACACTGCCATTTTGTGTTTACTTGTGAATAACGTGGTATTTATATGGAACCTGTGAGATGAATTCTTGAGAATCAACTGATTTAAGAAGTTAACTACACTAAGGTTTACTGGTGATTTCCTCATCTTACAATCAGTAATTACTTTCACACTGCCAGCAGTGGCAAAGGAAGAATGACACTGCAAACCATCTAGATACTAGATTGTTGGGTAAGCTCCGTGATACATTTCTCCACTACAAACATTTAATGAGATTTGTTCCCAACAGACTGTTTACTACATCAATTTATTTCATGGCACTGTATTTGCAGCAACAAGATAGAGCAAAGGTTATTTCAGGTCTTTAGCCAATAGAACTTTCTGTAAAGAAAGAAAAGCACAACCATCTAATTCATAAGATCATTTTTTAAAAGTTTAAATGCTCTATAAATTGTGCTTATCTAACAAATACAGCTTCAATTCCCATTTGTGGTATCTAGGTAAAAATAAATTTAAAAGGCCATAAAGAAATGGCTTTTTACAAGCGAGGCTCCTATGTTGCTACATTTCCAAATAAAACCAAATTCAATCCAAAAGAAAAAAATCCATTTAGTGATTAGCAAAATTCTTATATTTTAAAACTAATAAATATAATGATAACAACAAAAAAAAAACATTAAAACAGTACTGCTAACATACAGTCAAGATGAATTCATCTGCTGTGAGAAGATACAAGCACTTAGGTATTTTTTTTGTTTGTTTTGTTACATAAAACAGATAAACAATAACTCTAATTTAAATTACATTTTCATTCAGGGTGTCATTGTAAGAAATCACTTGTGACACTTAAATGTTGCTTTTTCTTTCACTAAATAACAAAATAGCTTATGAATTGTAACTTTAAAACCCAGTGTAAGCAAAAAGGATGGCTAACATGTAACATGCAATCATAGCCTGTTCCTCTGAGGACAAAAAAAAAAACTAACTGTCAGATTCAACTTAGGGTATGACTGAGAGGTCCGTTTTGATCAATGCACTGCCACTACAAGATCTGTGTTAAATATATGGACTTCAATCTATTCCTCTCACCTTTCATTGAAAATTTTAAACAAAATCTATCATCATCAGTTACAACATCAATTTTCTTGAAAATGTATCAACAATATTGGAGTCGCAAGGCTGGAATCTGATAAATCTGAGTTTTTACAACCAAAAAGGCCCGTATTTGCACATGTGTTTAGAAACTTTTATTCCTTTTGTTGATCTGGTCTACATCAATTATACCAGATGAGGAGCATGGTCTGTAGACCTCATCTACAGGAGGTCTACCAATTTCGGCAGAGTAATGGAAAATTATACTGGTAAGAGTCAGAGCAGCCGTATGAAACAAGGAATGCTCCATACAGAAGCCTACGAGTAGGTCAGGAGCAGAGGAAGAGATGACATTCTCCAAATATTTGCTTCAATATGGTAGTAGAAACATCGATTTGTGAAAGCGTATTGCTTTTATCACTTAATCATAAAAACATAATTAAGTTTCTAAATATTTCAATTATTAATTGAAATTAATTATTAATTTCAATTAAATTACATAATAATCCCAATGACAAGTTTCAGAGTAAGTAACTTCAATGTGCATTGTACTAGTTGAAATGCAGTCAATGCAGCCGTGATTTCCACTGATGACTGTCATTTGTAAACTGAACTCCTGGGTTTTGCCCTCTTATTCAAGGATATTTCTGCCTCCACCATTACTCACGTGCATGGAAGTAATCATTAACTGCTGTTTGAAGGAAGCAAAACGGTGAACATGCATGAAGAATTAATTCCAAGCTCTTTTGAAGAGGTGATTCTTCCCAATAAAATAGTGATACTATTCAGACTAAGACTATGCAGAGCACTGATTTCTAATACCTTTTAGTCTGCCATTTCTAACAGCAATAGTTGTTAGTGAATACAAACAGTAAAGCAAACCATTTTTCCAAAAATGTTGCAGTGTGCTAAATTTATGGGTTCACCTACCTCAAGCTCATCAAGCGCACTTCCCAGAGTGGCTTTGTGAGATGAAGGTTGTCCCGTTTTATTTCCAACTCCTTGGGAAGCATTAGAAATTACATTGAGAGCATTCTGTATTTCACTGCAAATTGAATCCTTGCTGGCTGTAAGGGATGCAACATCTGAATGTTCCAAACAAGCTGAACATATTGAATGTAGAAGAGAAGAATTTTCTTTCAGGGATGCACGTGCGGCAGCAATTTCATCTCGCTGATTGCTAGATTTCAAATCCTGTCAGCAAAAGAACATGACGCTTATTTCCAAAAGCATTTCAAAACTTCAAAATTGACAAGTAATGTATAAACAACGTTTTAGCTATCTGTAATCTGTTTAAGGACATACCGAATTAAATTTATCAAAGATTGGGAAAATGGACTATGTCTACAACAGTACTTAGAATCGAATCATCTCTATCTCACAAGGGATAAACAAAACTTATGTTAAACAACACCAAATTTTTATTTATTGTATTTTATAACCAGTACCATGAAAGGTCAACTTTTTGCTGCTTCTTAGGCATAATCTTCCCTTGAGAAAACAGGTTTGGTATTTAGCTGCTGCTTCTCCCAGACATGTCTGTCTTAATAAGTGATAGAGGAAAAAGGTGTAGATGGGGTTAAGAATAGAGTTTTTGACTGTTGCATCTAAATATATTTCTTGTATTTGCTTCCCCACCCTGCTAGCGTATGTCTCAAGCACTCTATACAAAGGAACAGCCGGCAGAGATGCGAATTCTGAACTCCAGGGAAATGGGAAGCATAGACAGTAGGGAAATCAAAAAACTGTCTGTGAAAAGTCACCTCTGTTAAGTGCCACTGCCTATTTCTCCTCTCTCACTGCTATGTGCACACCGTGAGCATTCAGGGATCGTGCCACTTCCATCTTATTCCTTCCTCTTCCACCCAGATTTTGAAACCCTGCAGCCTTCTGCCATCCAAGACAATAAAGAACAAAGTGAACCTTGAAATTGGAAGTGAGATTCAACTGTTTCTAGGAATCAAGCTGAGGAGCTGTTATTTGGACAGCTGAAAGTTACACACTTCAGGGCAAACAGACAGTCAACATTAGGATTGTAAGCAGCTGCCTGTCTCTGCCTGCTTTACTGTAGACAATTTCCTCATTTTCTTTCTGCATCTTGTCCCTTTGAAGAATACTAGTAGATATTTGCAAAATGGCTTGGGTGAAGGAGAGAATTAAATTCAAGGGAAAAAATAAAAAAGGGAAAACAGCACATCAGAACAAGAAAAGCCTGTGGCATCAGCTTCAAATGATGAGAAGAGGCACTATGAGGAATGAACAACAAAATGTGCACAAACCTGCTCACAGTCTGCTCTGAAGCAAGCTGAAGTCTTCCTAATTGTTTTCCTTTGCATTGCATGAAGCTCTACATGCATTATTTACAGAAGGATCATAATACCCACGTCTTGCCACATGAAGTTTCTACATTTACGGATGAAGAGCATCTGATATTAAAGGAACCAGTCCTATTATTTTTTTAATTCTCTTTCATTGTAAGAAATGCACTGGACACAGGATGGGATCTTACTTCCTCAGGCTTAGTTGGAAATCTCAGGGATACAGCAAAGAAAATAAAAACAGTGGAGCCCTAAAGAGAAGCAGACAATTGTTCCACCAGCTGATCACCTGAATTAGAAAATTGAGCTATTGTCTTGGGAGGATTAATATTTAATGTTAAAAAAAAAAAAATCAATAAACCAATACAGAAAAAAACAATACTGTGTAGTAATGACTTTTTTGCCCAGGATGCTCAAATCCAAATATTCAACTGCACCTCCAGCCCTGGTAAAGCATCTGCAACTTCTGCAGTGCACTCTCAGCAAAAAGCAGTAGTTATCATGCAACACAGACTCTTACTCTAATTGGCAAATCTACCTTTCCTGCAATTAAATGACAAGAAGACAGAATGCTCCCTTTTCTGCTGTACTGCAAGGAAGCTACAGACCCGGAGATACAGTGGTAAGTCAATACAACACTTCAATCTAGCTGGCTTCTGTTCTAAGCAATTCTTACTGTGCTGCAGCATCATATGCAAATGATCAAACTCGAAAATCCTTCCAAAGGACTTTTTCCACCCAAAAAAGTACTGTGTAACCAGGAATGAGTGGTTCCTACGGAATCCAAAACTGCCTAGCCCATAGCACAAAGCCAGTAACAGCAGGACGCCAACACAACATCCATTTTCAATAATAAACAAAGTGCCACGAGTCTTCATGACAAACCCAAAGAGCAGAGAAAAAGTAGCTCATACACAAAGTAAGTTGTCATGCTCCTCTCTGGCACCCAAAACTTCACACAAGTTTCGCAGATATTCTTAGGGGTGTTACGCGTCTTGTTATCACATTCAATTCTATAGAAACAGTAAGAAGTGCTGTAAACACCATGATATGCATTCTCAATAGATTAAAATTATTTTACTCTGTTTCAGTTTCTGTCTCTTAGACTCATAGACGGGACAGAATGCAGGAAGCAAGGAGAAGAGGGATTTCAGGGAACTCTAGCTAGGAGAGGGTCAGCACGAAGGGTGCCAAGCAATGGAAGATGCATTTGGGGCAAAATGTTCATAGGATCTCTCTCTCTGTTTCTCTTCCTTTGCCTTCCAGGGACTTCATCAAGGAGAGGGGACCGTATCCTGGCAGACTATGCCTCCATGCAGCCGTCTAACTCCTACCCCAGCTCCAAAGGAAACTGGGCACCCCCCCAGACCCTGTACAGATGCCTCTGAGTACTTAACCCTTGCCGCTAGGATTCCTTGGAATGGGAAGAAAAGAAATGTATGATTTTACTGTGAGATTTATGAAAAATGTAGCAAAAAGACTCTAGCTCCCCACACCTGCCTCAATTAATGGATTTTAGCCTCTGCCTCTTTGACTTCTCCCTCTACTGCTCCTTTGCCAGATTCCATGCTCAGCATTGTTACACTGGTGGCAGGGATGCGTTCAACTGTCAGAGATTACATTAAGAAAAAACTTTACAAAATGCAATTAACTTGGTTTTAGTTCAGGAGATGGAATAACTCTGATCACTGTGACACAGGAAATAAACTGAGGGAAGTAAAAGACAAGCAAATCAAGCAAAATAGTTAAATCCAAAAATAAAAAATAAAAATAAAAAAGCCAATACTGACTTCTGTTTTAAAACACTTCCTCGTCTTTCCATTTTGTGTGAAGAAATAGGGGATAAAGTACGACATTTAAGATACAGATATAAATTAAGAGGGTGATATTAAGACAATATAAAGAGACTACAGCATATGTTTTCTGACCATCAGAATGCACATGCAGTGATAAAAAGCACGCAGGCAAGTAGTAAAAGCCACACCAAACAGCTCAGCATACATTACTACCTACTTGTAACACAGCTCACTCAAGGAACAGTGCAGAAACGCAAAGAACTCAGACAAAACAAATATGTACATTTTACTGCTTACAAAATTACTGAACAAAAATATGTGCATCAGACTGTAATTGTCTGTGTGCCCTCCAAAGATAGGTTTAGGGGTCAACTAGACACCAAACTCAGTATCAACCCCAAATTCTCACATGAACTCACAAAGAAGTAGTTCAAGAATCGCACTGTACAGACGCAATTGGCAGTGAGGTACAGTTACGGGTTTTACAGGCTCATGCAAAAAATAAGAGTTGACATGTAAAAAAGCTTTCCTCTCAGATTTGAGCGCTGCCCACAAAATGAGTGCCACAGAGTTAAGAATTTGATAGATTTCTGTCATGAGAATGATGCCTTGCTGTGCAGTCAGGTGAGACTGTGTGGGCCTTGCCTAAAACAGACCAGCATCTCCACAGCAAGAGGGGGAAGCGCCTGCATTTGCTGAGAATAAAGGCCATGTTCTTTCCCAACTAGGTTAATAAAAAATACAGATAGAACAGAGCACAGGACAAAGCAATTGCAAAGATGAATCTAGACTATAACCATAGATGTATACATGCATATATGTACATAGACATACATAAAGGGTCCCAATGACAGGTTTCCCTGAAGGGAGCATCGTAGAAGATGTGGAAGAACCACCACTAAGTCTAGAAAGCCAGTGAAATATTAGCTTTCATGATAACATGGGGTAATGCAGGCTGGAAGGAACCTCAGGAGGGCTCTGGTCTTACCTCAGTCTTCTCAATGAGCTTCTTGTAGGTACCACGGGCTGCTGTCAGGTTCCCCCCACATTTTCTCCAGACTGAACAAGCCTGGACTGCTCGTCCGCTCCTCACAAGACAAGTCGTCCCATTCCCAATCTTTACAACTCATCAAAAAGCCAAGCAGACACACCTAAGTTTCTTTCAGAGTCTCTAAGCCTGCATTTATACCACTGTTTGTAAAGCACATGGTCAGTTTTAGATTTGGTAACCAAACACTTGGTAAAAACTTGCTGTACCTTCATATGATCCAACTTTCAAGAAAGCTGCAGATCAACAAGGCCTTCTCCATGAGCACAGCAATCATACAAACAGGGTTATGCCACTGCCAAATTACATACTAAGATGCATAAAAATAAGCTCTTTTTTTTTTTTTTCCCTTCAGCTCTTGTCTAAAACATTCAGTGTGCTATTGTTTTTAAAACTCTGTTTTATTTCACACAGCATTGTATGAAGTTGCAACATCATGGTATTGGTAAACTTGCCTATGAAGAGCCTCACTTCTGATGTGTAACACATCCACAGCAAGTCAAACACCCCAGAGGAGGCATGCCCATAAATTCAGAACAGCAATGAATCACAGGAAGATGTTTAAACACAGCTCTGTGTATTCTCATTGACTGAATCACTCCTGTTATTTAAGCTGACTGAAAGTCATGGTTTTAAGGACTAAACCGTAAGTAGCACACTTTGCCTCTACAAAGATTCTGTGCTGCCATTATAAAACCATGATTTACTGGACTCAGGTTCCACCTGAAGTGAAGTCTTGCAATTTTCTCTGGACCTACAGCTATTTGTTGTTAATAATACTCAAGCTAATATACAATACCATGGAAAAGCACAGCTAACATGCACAAAGAATCAAAAGCAGATCACAGCAGGTTAATATCCCAGGTTGTTGTTGCTTTTTTTTGTTTGTTTGTTTGTTTGTTGTTGTTTGCTTTCTTCTGGAATTTGCTGTTCAGTTAGGTAATGTTGTTTCTTTTGACGACATCCTTGCATCAGATTGCAACTGCTGCACAACACTCATGTGTTTCATCAAGTTCTTCCCTCCTTACAGAT